CATTATAATCAAACTTAACTCTGTGAAAAAAATGTGTATTTACTATAAGTAGTTTTTGAGTAATTAAATTTTCAAATTTTATAACCAATCAAGTGAGTCGCATTAGCCAAAATGTTAAAAAAAAAGGGTGAGGGGTACAAGAAATGATTTTACCAGATACATGTACATCCCATATCAATTTATTCTTTTCAAATTTCTTAGATATATTTTTTTTCAATCATTTATAACAAAGAAGTTGAAATAATATGCTTTTTGTTCTAAAAAAGAGGAAAAATCCCAAATTGACAAAATTAACAACATGGTAAATTTGACACGAAAAAGCAACAAAATGTTATAAAAATTTCTTATATTAACACCTACCCATATTTTTTGTAAGTTAAATTTATTCAGATTGATCCATTTCATCTTCAGTGAAAGTATAAAAAAACGTTTAATTGTGAAATGATAATATCCAAAAATGGGTAAAAATTGATGAAAAATGGGAAAATCATCAAATTTGGGTACTTTCAAATGGCTGTAGCAAAAAAAGAAGTGCACCACCATGTGATTTGTTCTTCACCAATTATATTTTTACAGTCATATAAACTCAAAAATCATATGCATGTTAAGAAAAAAAGTTTAATTCTAGAAATTTTTGGCTCCTCAATAGTGTACATCCTTAAATACAGATAGAAAGACCAATTCTAACTTTGTTTCAGGAAAAAAGAATTTCCATCGTAAACGCGAATTGTTTGTTCTATGAAGAAATACATTTAACTTTGTTAAAAAATACCTCTGATTCTAATACAAAATTCGCTGAAACTGACATCATAACGATGCCAGATTTTTATGATCAACATATTTGTCATGTTTGTAAATTGTTTTTATGTTCTCCAGACAATCGGCACTGATATAGGAAGAAATTGTGTGACCCTTCTTATCGACTTATTTCTTTATTTGTATGAAGCAGACTTCATAATGTAGCTTCTAAGGAAAAATAAAATAAGCTGGTATCAGTCTTAAACTCCGCTATCCTCTAAATATAATAATTCAGAATGCGGTGACTACGTAGCTTTCAAATTGAACCAATGATTGGAAAACAACAAAAAGAGTCAAGTTTGCATCATGGTGTGACTTACATCTATAAATTGAGTCATTTTTTTTCAAATCTTGCTTTTTTTTTCTAGATTAACCTTCAAAGCTCAAAACTTTATATTGGAAACCCAGGGATCCGTAAATAAGCTGATACTTTAAGAGCTATATGCCACAAAGGAAATAAACAGAATAACCAAATTCTTCTAATATCAACTTTCTCTGTGTTGTAACCTCAGTTTCCCAATCATTTCGTGTCTTAGAAATTGGCAAGATACCGTCAGGGAATAACTGTACATCAATAACGGTACCACTAGTACTGTATATTGACATTGAGCCTTTTCTTAAAATATTTTACCACAGAAAGGATGATATCAGCTTTCTAATTAAAGACTTTCCATCTCTCTGTAGCAACATTCCTGCAGCGCCTACAAATTCAGCAACATTCCTGCATCGCCTACACATGCAGTATATATATATATATCTTACTTGAAACGACATTGATATCTAATTTGACCTATTATAATGTTCTTGATAGAAGGTTGCTGCTCACAAGAACGCTTGGAACTAAGTGGTTCGTAGTGGTAAAGTTGATGTCGTCTCTCCGAAATATTTACGGGTACCACTATAAGTTGTTATATCTGTATCACAGATGATCGCGGATGTTTGGTGGGGTTCGTGTCACTCAGTCGTTTGGCTTTTTTATGTAGTGTACTGCAGACTGTCGTTTCGTCGATTTTTGGTTTTTTTGTGATGCTTCTGTAGATCTCTTCAATCGATGATTCTATCTTTGGTATATACAGTTTTTTTTATCCTTTTAATCAAATATATGATCATGGGGATCTTTCACAGAAAAAAAATGCATATGTGACACTAAAAGTTACGGATGTAATTTTTAAAGTATTTTAACTGTTCTTTGGTAGCTGTCTCATTATGTTTTACCAGCGTGTGCCTTTTTCATATTCTACTTATTTTAACAGTTTATTGATACAACACCTACATTTTTTTGTACAAAGGTTACAGAAAGATTAAAGGACTTATTTTATGACTGCACAAAGTTATCGTTAGACAGGTCCGCTATTGCAATTATTTCCGAAACAAAACCTGCACAATCTTAATTTCGACTGGACAAATCTGTTTGAACAAGACATGTTCTAATGTTAACGGGTGGATGGTCTGTTTTCCAATGAGCTCGCTTGTGACGTCTTAGAATTGTTCGTTTATCAATTTGTAAGTTATTAAGAAACTTATGTTTCAACTCCCTCAGGCACAGTTGACCTCATATGTGTTTAGCTGTTAATTATATGTCCGTTTTGGTCAAATATCTCTTCAAATGTGTCGGTAAAGTAAATCCAGAAAAGCACTTTGGGCGCATGAAATTGATTAAGTGTGGTTTTCATTTCTAAAAATGTTGGCATCGATTAACAATAGACACATGCGTTCTTAAAATTGAAAAAATATTGAATATGATGGCATATTTAACTTGGTAACGCATGGTAGAGTGTGTAAAATAAACATGATAAATGACAACTTTTAGTGGTATACAGTTACTAGAATTTATCATCGGCTTTAATTCAGAGTGCAATCATTTCTCCTTTTTTTTAAATTCTGAATAGTCACTAAAATCAGTTGTCTTGTATCACAAGGTGGTTTGTATATCAGCAATGTTTGCTAACAGCGATCAGTACTGGACATATTTGTACTTTATCATGAAAAGTATATGCCTATATCAAAATCAGTAACTTTGATAACTGAGGATGGATTGTTGATGGTGGTATAATAAATAAGTAAAAATAGCAACTCAAGATATATTGTTTGATATAGACGAAAGCAATATTGGTCCTCAATGACACCACAATTATGTCAACTTTGATTTAAAGTGCAAACATTTCTTCTTTATTAAATACTGAACCGTCGTTAAGAATCAATTGTAGATATTGGTAGGAATCTGATGTTCAGTAGTTGTCGTTTGTTGATGTGGTTCATAAGTGTTTCTCGTTTCTCGTTTTTTATATAGATTAGAACGTTGGTTTTCCCGTTTGAATGGTTTTACACTAGTAATTTTTGGAGCCCATTACAGCTTACTGTTCGATGTGAGCCAAGGCTCCGTGTTGAAGACCGTACTTTGACCTATAATGGTTTAATTTTATAAATTTTGACTTGGATGGAGAGTTGTCTCATTGGCTCTCATACCACATCTTCTTATATCTATAGAACAAACATGTTTTCTTTTATAAATCGACACTGGCCATATTTGTATTGCCCGCATCAATAATTACTGCAATATTTGTACTTTATAAATACATTAAATGGTAGTTTAAACAAGTAAATATGGTAACTCGGGATGGATTTTATGATATAAAGGACAGCAATACTGGTACACAATGACTACATAATTTTCAAGTTTCAAATTTAAGAGTACAATATTTCCTCTTCTATACTGAACTGTCATTAAAAATCAGTATTTTTGATATCTTAGAATGGTTTTATCATATGTGATTACATTAATCAACACTCGCCATACTCATTTATATTAGTATTGTAAAATGAAAGACAAATGTCCGTATTATAAAGCAGTAAATTTGGTAACACAGGATCAATTGTATAATATAAATGACATCACTATTGGTCAGGCATGGGGCGAATTACATTACAATGTAATGCATTATATTACAATTACTTTGACAAAACCATGCATTAAATTACAATTACAATTACATTCATTTATCAAAGTAATGCATTACATTACAATTACTTTTGCAAAGTAATGCATTGAATTACACATTACATTTGTAAATTTTATTATTAGGTGAATAGAAAAATCAAACATTTTGAAAAACAACACGAAGTCACAAAAGATTCTAGCATATTCAGTAACTGTTCCATGCATTGAATTTAAGTATACATGTAAACAGACTATTAAATTCGGCTATTACATTTTTAATTATTTAAACTTAATGTTGACTTTACTTTTATAAATATACTTTTGTTTTTTTTTAATTTCAATCAAAATATTTAATTACTGAGAATTTCTTTCCTAATTATATAATAAACATAGAGCTTAATTAATGAACAATTGTCCAAATTATGAAAATATTGATTGTAAAACAAACTTATTAGTGTTTTATAACAAACTTCAATAATCTTTTATTTAATCAAGACAAGGTATTCTTTGATCTTATGACAACAATACAGTAATGCTTTTCAAATATCAATCTTGTTATGCAGGAAAATGTATGAAATAAAATGAAATAAAGAATATAATATTCAAATAATTAATATATTCTTAGTTAATCAAGAAATCTTAAATTCTGCTTTAGTTAAATCTCCAACAATATTTTGAAGATTTAATATGTGAAAACAGTAATGCCATGTAATGCAATGTAATGCATGAAATTACACAACTTTTTGCTAAAGTAATGCATTATATCACAATTACATGTAATGTAAAAATTGCTGCATTACACATTACATGCAATTACTTGGAAACATTTGCATTACAATTACAAATTTGCATTACCCCATGCCTGCTATTGGTACACAATGAGTACAAACATTTTGTAGGGTTTAAATTTAAAGAGTGCAAACATTTCCGAACTCCAAGGAAAATTCAAAACGGAAAATCCCTGATCATAGGGCAAAATCAAAAACTCAAACACATCAACGAATGGATAAACTGTCATATTCCTGACTTGGTACAGGCATTTCCTAATGTAGAAAATGGTAAATCAAACCTGGTTTTATAGCTAGCTACACCTCTCACTTGTATGACAGTCGCATAAAATTCCATAATATTGACAACAATGTGTGAAAAAAACAAACAGACATAATAGGCTAAAATGTCCTAAATAAGGGTACATCAGTCAACATTGTGTTATAATCTTAATCACTATAGAAACAAACAAATATGTCAACAAAGAAAACAAAAATGAAGGACAAGAATGCAAAAAAAAGACCATTGTACAAAAACACAATGACAGGATGTATAAGTACCGAGCCACGCCAAAAGGATATTACCAAAAATGGACTAAACAGTAAAGGTTAATAGTTTACAAATAAGAAAGAAAAGTAATTCGCAAGTTAAGTTCAAAAAGTAAATGCAATTGTCTTTACAAACTTCGCGTTGTGTTTTAGAATTTAAGAAATTGTACCAAAATGTTGACAATGTTGTTGCTAATAATTAATATCTTTATATTTCAGCATGACTAAATCAAATAAAACATAAATAAACATTTAATTAAGTGTAGATAGTACTCTGTAACTGATAATGGGAGACTATCCAATTCACATCCATATATATATTATGCAGACTCTCTCTCTCTCTCTCTCTCTCTCTCTCTCTCTCTCTCTCCATTGTTAAATGTACTTTTTGTTGAGACAATTAAAAGAAAAAAAAATTCTAACAATATTATGCACAAGTTATTTCAGTAAACTGTCACAGTTCAATGCCAAATCTATGCATTACTTTCATCTATTGTATTGCCTAATTGTATGTTTTGATAGTTGACTACAGAATGCATTCTTTCTCCTTCTCCTGAAGCACTATTTTCTGTTCTGGTCGAATTTCTATGCCCTATAATTACAATAAAGCCTTAAAGATTGTATAAAAGTCTACTGGTTTGTATTGTTTATAAATGATTTGATTAAACGAATTGAAATAAAATATACTTGTGTAGAAAACATACAGATATTGTCAAGATGTATCATTTTAATGACAAGAACAAACAAAGAGAATCTTAAATGTAACGCTATATACTATATACCCGTATAGATTCAATTAATACGCCGATATCATAGTGTTAAAATATATTATTTAATCAAAGTTATTACCAATTGTATTTTGCTATTATTATTATTCTATTACTATTATTAATGATTATTATTATTATCATTATTATTATCATTATTTTTAGTAGTAGTAGTAGTAGTAGGAGAAGTATTTATTATTATTATTATTATTATAACTTTTTGTATTGCAGTTTCAGAGAAGATCTTAGTAGGTCTGTTCCAGTTTTTACGGGGTCCGTAATTCTCATTTGACGCTAGTAGTGATTGTTTTGTCCCAAGTTTAGTCTTTGTCTTTTAATTTCCTTTTTTCTTGACTGAAGCTACTTTTTCGGCCTTTTACTCGGGACAGATCGATTCAGTTAGATCATCCTACGCCCTTACGTGAGAATTCAAAATACGTAGACGCCATACACTGTCATTTTCATTTTATGTTACATTATAGCTTAAAGTCTTTTGCTTAAAAGGTAGCTTAAAGACACCGTAATTTCCATTGTATCATTTTTCACCGGTTTGCCCAATAAAAAGATGGGGATCTCTGGATCAATACATGTCATATATTTCAAAATATTTCGCATTGTAATTTCAGAGAAAATCTTATCCGTTCGACCAGCCTTTCAAACAGTCTTTAAAGTCTCACTGTCATATATCTTCTTGTGTATGTATTACTATTGTTTATTTCCTTTCAACTTCGTCTTTAAAAATGAAAAAAAAATCAAATTTCCCTAATAAGATTACTATTAAAAATGGGAGTCATTGTTCGTCAGTATTACATTTTTTACATATTCCTCCATGTTGCTCTTTAACGGGCACAGATCAGTGTTCATTGGGAAAAACTACGCTCTATATATTTCTTGGCCGACCGTAGACTATTTACTCTAGGCACCAGCACTGACATTGCATACATACGCAGGTGATTGTGGACAATATGAATCATATAAGATTCATTTGCAGTGGTTTTCTCCGACACCAGAATGCTGCTTAACAATTTGATGTATTGCCTTCAAGATATACCTATGTCTTATGTTGCCCTTTATACACGTCATACCCAAGAACAAAAAAAAGAAGTAAAAAAATCAACTTGCGATTTTCGGATCATTTAAAGTCTAATTTGTCAATCTCAGCGTCAAGAATTTACTTTTTCGTTACACGTCTAGTAGGAAACTAATCGCTACAGACACCTTACATCTACATGACCTAGGCTTAGGACGATACGTAACTTTGAAAAGCAGTTATCTATAGTATAACATAATAACATTTATTTTTTTAAGTGATTAAATATATTTCATAAAATAATACATGAATTGATCCAGTTTTAATTGTGTGTTCAATAACATGAAACTGTCGATGCTCATAATGTACTTTGTGAAAATTTAAAAAAAAAGCGAAATTAAAAAAGTGCAACATTCAACTGAATAGGAAAGTTTGAAGTACTTTATTATTTGAAAACTTGTGGAATTTATCATATTTAGAAAAGCAAATGACTTCAATTATCAACACAGCCTGCAAAGTGGGGAAAAACATGTCCCGAGCATTATTTTTTAGTTGATATCCACTTAGCAAAATAAAATTTGTCCCTTATTAGATACTCCGGTCGTAAAATTTGGCATTTGTACATTTCTTTAACCTTGTAAATCAACTTCGTTTTCACTTATATCATAATTATCCAAATTTCCTAACACACTTTTTAAATGATTATATTCTAAGCAGAAACTTTACTTTGATTACACATTTATTAGACACTGATAGAAAAACATACAAAGACAAGAATATCTTTTAAAAACTACAATTTTCGAATGATTTTTACATGAACTTGAACTAAAGACAAGTGGTCATAACACAACAGTTATTGTATTATTGAATTGTTCTGTTTAGTTAACATATATACAATACATTAAGATTACAATGTGGCTACTTTGAAACTATGTCAGTTATGCTTCAGATTTCCTGCTAACAGCATTTCGAGTAACTTAAATATTCTTTTACACTCTGATCTGTTTCAAATTATTGCGCATGATAGATTGTGTTAGTATTTCATTTTTACGGCGATACGTTTATTCGTTGTTGTTTGGTAAACCAAAATTATATAATTTTTTAGATAAATAAGCAACAAAGAAACAAACCTGGCAAAGGTGAATAACGAACTGCATTATATGATGTGGTTGTACTTTGTTTTAGATCTATAAAAAAATATATAAATAAACAACCGATTGGTATTTATCATTTACCATTTAAATACATGTACAATTAATTCTAATCCATGGAATTTCATATCTTGAATTTTGTTGCTTGCTACAATATTCTTTTAACTTTCTCGACATATTAAACTCACAACTTTATCTTAAGAAATACAGTTGTTTGGTATTTGTCATTGTATTTGATTTAAAAAAAAAAGCATGGATGAGTTATATTTAGGGCTAATAAGTTCATTTCAGAAAGGGGGAATACATGTGTATTTTTAAAATTGTTCAAACAATATCAAATGCATAAGTACTTGATCATAATCCATTTGCCATTTATTTGTCATGATGGCTTTATATCTTCACTCAAATCTTGAAATTTACAGTTACTATAGGGTGGGAACTGAATTTTTCGACTAAAGAGATAATTTCAATTACCCATTGTAAACTTTCTATTTCTATGTATCTACATTCTAACACAGCCTTGATATGGAGTACCTATTTCCAATATGATTCCATATTCCATTAATCGTTCAAGTCTTATCATTCTTTTTTTCTTTTCTTGTTTAAGACATTTTACTTGAAATGGATAAATTGATAGAACAAAATATACGGAATAAATGTAAAAACATTAGAATACAGATTGTTAAAAGCGTTTGTTTAAACTCTTTTCCGACCCGTTATTTGAAAACCGTTTATATCGCAAGAGTAATAATAAAAGAGAGGCGAAATAGGCAGAGGGACATTCAAACTCATAAGTCGAAAATAAACTGACAACGCCATGGCTAAAAATGAAAAAGAACATCATACAAACAACAGTACATAAAAACACAACACAGAAAACTAAAGACTAAGAACACGAACCCCACCTACAACTGGGGGTGATCCCTGCTGCTCTGGAAGGGTAAGCAGATCCTGCTTCACATATGGTACCCGTCGTGTTGCTCATGTTAGTACAAACCTGGTAATAAGTCTAATTCGGAAGATCACATACGGGAAAAGGGGACGGGATTGTAGTTACGATATAATGAACATATCCGTTATCATCTGTGAAACAGATATTCTATAACGGTCAAGTAACTCGTGATAGCGTCCGTAAAACTTACGAAGGGATGATTTCAACTTCACCACTTGTAACTCTTAGTTTAATAGCTTCATTGTGAGTAGGAACCCTCTATCAAGGAATCATGATAGGAAATACAAGACCTGGAATATCGTATCAAGTGGGAGATATATATTGCGTATGCAGGCAATAAACGATAGGACATTTGATTGATAGACAAATAATTTTCTAAGCATACGTGATATTCCCATCAATTAACGATAATTCAACTAATCCATTAGAACAGAATTAAATTTGGCTTTGATTTATTTCTAAGTGTTTATTTGCATAAAACTGTCTTTAAGTACCAATCAGACATTTTAGATTTACTCTTTATTTCTTTTCTATTCTACCCATCCAATGTGAGGATAAGATAAAGCGTTTAAAGACATGTTTACCCGGAACTTTCTCAATGAACTGTTTCAGGTCAAGATCCAGTAATCCAGTGCTTGCTGTTTGGTAAATTTGGTTTGACAACCGAAAAACAAATGGAACAACCAAATGACTTTAGAGATAAAAGGAAGTGTCTAAAGGTTTATTATCATATCAATTTGGCAGTACATTAAATAATAGTGCATACACCTTATTGATGAATAATTGTGTGATTGATGATTGTAAAATTGAAATATTTTTTGTCTGCATTGATTACATTTTAACGAAATTTTAAAAGTTTGTTTTATTCTGTGTCTATTTTTCCTTTCAGTAGTATAAGTTTTCATCAATTTTGTTTGAATCAATAGCTTTTCTTAAGAATTAGACAGAATACGTCATGTTCCAAGAAATACTGAGTGAGCAATTAAGGAAAGGAACAATGAATAACAAAAAAGATTTTAAAAAACTTAAAAAAAAAAAAAAAAATTCATTGAGAGACTTGAACTCAACTCCTTCCCACCCCAATTTCTCTACAACAGTAACATAACAAATAATGTTAAAAGACGTATGCATTCGTTAACATGCCAATCCACGATTAACGTCTGTCTCACAGTGTTTGAAATTTTGAAAATCGGGCAAATAAGAAATGTTCGAGTACAAACTTTTTTCCCTGAATTTACCAGAAGGTTGTCAGTTCCCTTTTGATTTTGTTTTAAAACTCGACACTGTTAAGATCTCACTTTCAATACATGCAATTATAAATGTTTATCGTAGATATCACATTTAAGTTGTAACGAAAATTAATGTTATAGTACGAAGAAAAGGCTACCGTTGTTGTACCCAATGTATACCGGAAATCATCTCTGGTCCCAATTCGTTTAAATATTTTAATAATCCAATGAAAACTACGACGATTTTTTTCTTTCTTTTTTTTTTCATTTCCAACTATAAACCTACTTACGGCCTACTAAGATACTTGAACGGCATCAGTATTTATATACAAGGAATGTCAGGTATGAATATGATCAAGGGCCGCAGGAATGCTCATACATGTAGCAACAAATGATGAAAACATTTGGAAACAGTCATTTTTCTACACTTTTCGTGAATCTGGATGTGTTTACACCAACAACACATGGATCAAATCAGCGGAAGTTGACAAACCATTGAGGTTTGCAAAAATATAGGTTTCAAACTTTAGAATTACAGTATTACAATTTATGGCAAGTCACTTTAAATTGGAACTAAATATTGGGGGCCGTTCTCTGATAATTATTTTACTTTGTCCATTGATTCTAGACTATATTTATTTAGAAGTTGGTATACTTACTATTTTTATTTGTATAGCTATGAAGCAGTAAAATATTCTTGTGTGTGTTTGTACATAATTGGGAAGTTCGTGTTATCAGATACACAGATACAATAAGGTTGTTAAATGAATTAGTTACAGACTGTAATGTGTCCTGTAACGTCGTTAGAAAAATGCTGTGCGGTTCGTGGGTTGACAGAAGAATTCAGAAAACGCATTTTTTCCCCCATAAAACAATATACTTGTAGTAGTCCGAAAAAGCATTGGAGGGATAATTTTAGAACATAGAAGCTCTAAAGAGCCAGTGTCCCTCAAGAAGGTATGTGTGCATATTCAACGATGGAGACTACAATGTTGTAGACGAGAATAGAATTGTTGACAAATATATCTCTTTTTCATGATTTTGTATTGCTGATCATTTTTCTGTTAAGTTTCTTTCTTTTTTCTTATTTTTTTCCCACAACACAAAATAGGGTAAAACAATCTTCTTTTAAGGGCAATCACTCCCACAAAACGTCTACTAACTATATAACAAAAATTGACTAATTTGTAGATCTTGCTTTGCTTAACATTTTTTTTTTATTTTAAGTTTCCTTCTATCTTTTAAAGTTAAAAAGGTAATGGGCAATGACGACAAAAATTAAAAAATACGAGTCGACTTACGATTTGGACTATGCTGCTTTATTTATAGATCTTGTCTTGTTGATAATTGTTGCTATTTTAAGATCTACAGATGGGTGCAGTCCTAAACTGTACAGCTAGTTCACTTAATAAGCAGACTTTATGACTGGTTAAAGTTAACATAGGACAGGTGTTATGACTGCTGTGACCGGTCCTAGGACAGAATTTGTGTTAACTTAAAAAGCAGACTTGGTCCTAGGAATGTTTAATGATTGCCCGAAAAGTTAACTTCAGGACAGGTCCATGGCCAGTATTGAAGTTAACTTTGGACGAAGTTAACTTTGCCACAAGCAGTCCTACACACAAGTTAACTTATGACCAGGTCTGCTATCATAAGTCAAACCAGACCTGTTCTTATAAAAGTTAACTTTGGTTTGGTCCATGAAAAAGTTAACATGATCCAAAGTTAACTTTGGTCTGGTCTGCTCCTCTTAGATAAAGTTTACTTGATCCAAAGTTAACTTTGGTCTGGTCTGCTCCTCCAAGAGAAAGTTAACATGATCCAAAGTTAACTTGTAAACAGGACTGCTTTGATTGATGAATGTCATATGAGTATCGACCTCCGATCAGTGAAAATCATACGATCTTTGTCTTTTTTATGTGAAAACAAATATCAACTATGCTACAAGTAAAATCTGTTAAATAGCAAACTTGTCCACAGGTCTTGTCAGGTCAAGCAGACCTGTCCACAGGTCTGGTCTGGTCAAGCAGACCTGTCCACAGGTCTGGTCTGGTCAGGCAAACCTGTCCACAGGTCTGGTCTGGTCGAGCAGACCTGTCCACAGGTCTGGTCTGGTCAAGCAAACCTGTCCGCAGGTCTGGTCTGGTCTAGCTGACCTGTCCTGGGAACAGGTCTGCTCTATCAAACTTGTCCTCAGGACTGGTCTGCAGCAGTCCTAAAAAGCAGACATGAGGTCTGGTCTGCTAGGGATAAAGTTAACTTACAGGTCTGCTAAAATGTTCCCAAGTTAACCTATAGAGCAGTCGTAAGGACTGCTTTAAGTTAACTTGTGTACAGGTTAGGACTGCACCCATCTGTATCCCTGTCTTAAAGTTTTTAAGATAATTGGGAAAAGGAAAACATTGCAAAAAGTCTTCGTTGAAGGGCAATAACTCCCATTAGAAGTCATCTGACATTTTGACGTATATAGACGAAAGGTAGACTTCAAAATTCTGAATATTTCTGATCCTGTCAGATCTTCTCTATTTATAGCTGTTTATCAAACAAAATTTTTAGACAAAACTTGCATTTTACTCTTTTGTTCCATGTTTAGCCATGTCGGCCATCTCGTTGGTCGGCGGGATCATCGGACGCACTGTAGTTACCTATACCGTAGCAAATTCTATGGTTGAGCAAATTATGATAATAAACAAGGTACAAGTAGTTTTGAGAATCTCTATTAAAACTTAAAACTTACTTGTCGTGCTTGGACGGAAATCCCAAAATCGAAAGTCATCTGTAAACAATATTATTTCTATGAAATAATTGATACTGTTTAAAATAATCAGCAATATTTATATTTAATTCGCCTTTATCGTATTAAAGGTGTTTGATAAAAATGGTGTAATGCTATTTAATAAAAGGGATGTGTTGTTATTTTTGCGCCACATTTACGCATTGCGAAAAAAAAACACTCAATTTGTGAAAGCGCTGTTGCATATAATAGCTGGAGCTGATATTCCCCTAACCCATGGATCCCAATTATGGTCCCATTAGCCTAGTACACGGTGGGTAAGGTTGTCCTGCGAGAGAACGTTCTGTGCTGGTGATTCGGTCCTGACTGGTGCTGGTGATCATTAAAAATATGTAAACAAAGACGAAAATGACGAATTTTGACGTTTTCTCGCATAAAAAAATGGAAGGAAACAGTTGAGATGTTTTAATTTTGTTTCTTATCGGTTCATAGGCAAACATTTACAAATGTGACCCTCTAAACTGTTTCAGTAAGCGTAACACAAAAGTGCTCATTTTTAAAAAATCTAGTACTGAAAAATAAAACAAAAATGCTCCTGGAGTCCGCTTTCTCTACCCAAACCCACACGACAAAATTTTTTGTGGAAAACCTGTGCAATTTATTAAAATTGTGCATTTTCTCAGTTTAGACATGTCCTGATTCTGTGCTGGTGGGTCCTGATACGGTGCTGGTGATTTTGGGTAAACAGTTGGTTATGTTTGAAACAAACGTTACAGAATCAATAAAATTGGGCAGATAATTGTATTCAATCGGATTTGTGACTCCTACTTTTACTTTTGTGCATCCATTTGGCTGTTCAATAAGCGTTTTCAAATAATCGTAACTTATATTACATAAAAGGGCAACATCTTCCGTCCAATATCAGATGAAAATATATCTAATTAGAATAGTTTTATTTAAGATATTAAATGCCCTTAAATTGATAACTCTCTACATAATATGTTAACTAAAACAGTTTTAAAAGGTGCTTTAGGTTAAGCGACATGTATATTATAACGACAATAAACGTTTGACTGGTTTATTTCAGTCAAATATACGAGGTTAGATGATCTTACTACTGGTGCCTCTAATTTCTTCCTTAATATATACACTGTCTCCAATACATTTCGACTGGATAAAAAAACGACCTAGACTTGCTTTTCATACATGACTAATAAAAACTTACTAGAATGGAACAAGATGTGAACAATTGCAAGTCAAAGTATGACCTTCAACAACGAGCAAAAACCATAACGAATACTAGCTATAAAAATCACGGTAAACGATTAAAATATGAAGACCTTCGGCCTGATTTAAAATACAACTTTGAACAAAAAACAAACATGACAGATATCAAGCATCGACAACCACTGGTTTTGGGCACTCGTGACAGGGCTTATATAGATATAAGAAGATGTGGTATGAGTGCCAATGAGACAAATCTCCATCCAAGTCAAAATTTATAAAAGTAAACCATTATAGGTCACAGTACGGTTTTCAACACGGAGCCTTGGCTCACACCGAACAGTTAGCTATAAAGGGCTCCAAAAATTACTAGTGTAAAACCATTCAAACGGGAAAACCAACGGTCAAATCTATATAAAAAACGAGAAACGGGAAACACTTATGAACCACACCAACAAACGACAACTACTGATCATGTTTGTTTGCGCTCCACACCCCACCCAACCCCCTCCTCTCCTCCTTCATTGGTACAGTGGTGTAACAACACAACACTTAGCACACACAATAATAACATAAAGGCACAAATTATTGAACCACGAGTACTCGCAGCTACTGAAAGCTAGTTCAACTAATAGATAAACCATGTTCTCTTAGATTAAAATCTCAATCGGTAGACATCAAACAAATTTCGCAAAACTTAAGTTTACATTTTTAATTTTTGTTTTAGCAAAACTTTAAAACTGTGCAGTGAATCTTGTGCTCACAACAGTTATTGTCATAAATATGTATACATCAGACATTATAAAGGCATGTGGAAGATACTAAGTAGTATTTTACAGTTCAATTTATTGATCATAAAGGGATGGAGATTGCATGGAGGTTAACATAGGATAAGAAGAAATTGATAGTATTTTTGGCGAAAGACTTTAAACCTTCTCTGCATTAAATTCTGAAAGTTTTCTTGTTGCCGTATTTTACGATATCAATGTGTAGAAAACCCGATAATCTATACACATATATAAATAAACAAACTAAAGGCTGCAACTGGTATTTTTGCATTTAAAATGATTCATTGCAACAAGAATATTTGTATTGAATGGAAACTGTGTGGATCAAAATCTTGTATTGCTGATAAATGTTGCTGGACCAAGTTTCGGCATCTGATCTGAATTTTCTGAAAAGTGCAAGGTAGATAGACATTGGCCTGTTGAATATTTTTACTCGGTAAGTTTTGCTCTAACCATGCTAACTGCTTGAACTTTTGCGATATAAACTAAAAACTCAAATATATTTTAACAAACAGTGGTCATGTTTGTTGATGAATATTGTTTTACCTAGATTCACTCAGGAAAATTCATTTGGTAACATTTGGTCAAGCAATTTCAGAGAAGATTTTTTTTAATTACGGACGCCAAGTCAATAGCTCAGACGGCCCTTTGACACAGGTGAGCTTAGAGCGAAACGGGTTGATAACCAGTTGAAATTAAACCAAGTTTTGTAAAGTTTGTATATTTGGATAATTTAAAACTGTTTTTATGGCTTTTCAAAGTTAAATGTAGGTGTATAATTTGCATCTTATATACTTGTTTATACTCAATTGGTAGTATGAAGCTACGAGATATTGTAATTTTTGCACAATTAACAAAGCAGCCGATTTCGGTAGGTGCAAATACTTCTGGGTTTTTAAGATGCATAAGCATAAATTCAACTGAAAAAAAAACATGCACGAAATGATAAAATATTGATCTTAAAAAGCATTAATTTGCATCTCTGCCCTCGGCAACAGTATTTTTTTTTGGGGGGGGGGGGGGTGTCTAAAAATGGGCAATTATCTTATCGTAAAGAGACAGTCGAGTACACATTTTACGTTCAAGGCGTGTTTGCGTTGATTGTTTTTTCCTGAAAACGTATAAAATAAAAATAAAATGTTTGATATATCTGGCTTTAGATTCGATTTTTTCTTTATATTAAGGCTACATGTTAATATAATAATACTGAGAATTCACAGTACTTACCAAAAAATGAAATAAATGGATGAAGTGAAATACCTTTGTAACGAGTCATTACTACAGAGAAGGTGTGTTTGAAACACAAAAATTAAAAGCTTCGTGCTATTACAAATATTTAACTAAAAGTGTATTTCTTAGTGTGGTATTTGTTTTATCGTTCACTCATTTTTCACTCATTTTCAATTAAAATTTAGGCATATTTTATTTTTATTCAGGAAATATATTTAAAAATAGAAAATTAGGACACATCGTTCACTTACTCCCCCTTAATTCTTTATTAAAAATCCTTGACAACAGACTTGACTTTTGGATCTTTAAAATGCATAACTTAAAAAAATCTTATTTTTGTGTGTGTTTTCTAGGTTATCTAGTCTTCATTTTCTGACAAATTCTAGTCTGCCCTTCCATGAAATATTTAAATATTTTTTTTAATGTTTTATTGAACTTTCAAAAATTCCCCCTGACAACCAATCAGACAATAATTTTATGTTGACCAGAGGCTTACAGGTACAGCAAATGATGCTTAATAGCTAATCGATACATGTTTCTTTTAAAGTACAACTTTTAAATCTTACGGGAACCCCCCTTCCCCTCTTGGGAAATGTTTTTATGGTAAAATTATCAACTTCAGTAATAAAATCGTTCTTGATCATCAGCATCAAATTATTTTTTATCAACAATTTTAGAATTTCAAAACTATTCCAAGCTTAATAACTTTCACCGTGACCTCCCTCTTCCTTATTCCAAAAAAAAAAAATTCGCAATATTATTGTCATCCTTTTAGTAAACACTAAATTGTTACAAAGAAATCTGATTTCAGCTGCTAAGGACACATGATTCTTACGCGCAGAAACAAGGCTGAGATTCATTTGGTTGAATAAAAAGAAAAGTATCTACAGTATCGTACAAATTAGTCAGAGAAACAATATCCAGAATGCTTAGGCTACACTGCATGTATTATCTAAACTCATCTAAGAAATGTTCAGACTCACCTGATAGTTTGCCGTGATCAACTTAGGTTGTGCTTGATTTTCATATTATGAAGACATAATCTTTCAATCAGTTTAATTGAGGTCTCGAGCTGGCATGGGAGTAACTGTTAGTAGTCCCTTGTTAATTTATGTATCATTGTCATTTTTCTTAGTTTCTTTAGTTACCTTTTCTGATACGGACTCGGACTTCTTTTAAACTGAGTTTTACTGTGCGTATTGCTGTGTGTTTGTTTATTCTACATTGGCTAGAGGTATAGTGGAGGGTTGACATCTCACAAAGCATGTTTAACCCCGCCGCATGTTTGCGCCTGTCCCAAGTCAGGAGCCTCTTGCCTTTGTTAGTCTTGTATGTTTTTTTAATTTTAGTTCATTTATATGCTATGGAGTTTAGTGTGACGTCCATTTTCATTGAAGTGGTACATTTTTTTTAGGGACCAGCTGAAGCCCGCCTCCGGGTGCGGGATTTTCTCACTGTGTTGAAGACCCATTGGTGTCCGTCGGCTGTTTTCTGCTCTTTGGTCGGGTTGTTGTCTCTGACAAATTCCCCATTTCCATTCTCAATTTTATAAGAAAAAAAAGTCCTTTATTCTATATTTATGCTCTCCATTTTTATGCAAAACCTTTTACATTTTGATTTTTCGGGTCATTGTTGAAAGTCGTACGGTGACGTATAGTTGTTAACACCTAGATCATTTGGTTTCTAATTGAAATTTGTCCATTGGCAAACATACCAGATAATCTTTTTTATATAGGCATTGGATATTTTACACCGTATTTTTATGGTCATGCAAAAGGATCGTAATCCCGCAAATCGTAT